CTTTCCCTTGTCACCTCCCACACATTAGAGCATTTACTGTATGCTGTTTACAGCTACTCATATGTGACTGTGCCTCCTAAAATTAGTTGGAAGAGATTTAATCTCCATTTAATTTGTCGTTCTCAAGAGGCTATTTCTTGATTATTAACTGTGTATGGTCTTCGGCACCACAGAGGGAAGTGATATGCTTGTGTTCTTGAGTTCCCTTGCCTAGTAATTGCCAACTTAAAACTTGGAGAAAGTTTTCGGGAATTATTTATCAAACGCATAACTATTGAGCGGTAGTTCTAGTTGAAATAGCTGAATGTTCCAGGCTTGAATTCTGAATAAGAGTGAGAAACCTAACCTGCTTGTAATTGGCAGAGCATACCTTTCCCATTGGTTGCACAATTTTTTTTATGTGGACAAGAGAGAAGAGGAAGGAAAATCAGTGAGATTTTCATGTTTATAATATCTCTCTAACTTTCTGTCACATTGCTTTTTCAAACAGAGTGAAATGTAATTCACCAAACCTATATGAGGGGACCTGGCAGGCTTTGGAGACACTGATTTCAGAGCTCTTCCAAACTCGGGCAAATGCCAGTGGCTATAGGGAAGAACAAAGTGGAGCGGATGCTCTGAGGTCCCTAGCTGACTGGTTTGGCATCGTAATGGCTTTGTCACTTGGAAAAGGAAGTGGAAACGCTAAAAGAGCTGGCACCGTGACTCCGAAATTCTCCAAAGCTCTCCAAAGTTCTTGGGACCTGTGGGACAGGTGCTACGGAGACGTGCGTGCTGGGCTTTCAGGCAACAAAACAAGTGTTTGCTTCTCATGTTTCCCTGTTCCAGGTTGTACTAAGATACCCACAGGGATGCTGAGGAACAAACATGGAGAAATTAATAATGTAATCTGAAGCACAGCATACAAAACTTTCAAGGGCTGGACCACATCACAAAATAGTGTTATTTTGACTAATCAAATCAAATGATGGTGATTCCTGAATGACCAGTGAAGATGATGTGGTGTAATACTGTCGTCAAGACAAGACGTGGTGTTCTGGGGAGCTGCTTGTATCCCTTAGATCATCAGTGAATGATGCCAGCCTGCTTCGTGTTTCAGCAGTCAGGAGGCAGCTAGTGAAGCAAGCGCTGGGCAGCAGGAAAAGCAGAGTTGATATTGTGGGATAAAACCAAGGACACCGCATTGTCTCAGGTTTTATCAGAGATGAGGATATGAGATGAGATGGCAGGCAAACGGCCAGTAATTGTGTATTTCTCTGGGTTTGACTGCTTGACTCTTTCAGATAAGTTGAACAGTTTAATCTGAAGTCAAGGGGAGGAACATTACTGAAACACAGTCAACAAATACCCCATATAGTGAGGTTGCAATGCATTTTGGGACTCTTCAGTTTGTCGTTTCCACAACAAAATTGCGTCCAAGAGTACAGTGAAGAGAAATTTGATAAAACTTCAGGCAGTTCAATAGCAGTTGGATCTCTTGTCCAAAAGATGGTGAGTAGAGTTTATGGTTTCTCTGAGAGCATGGTGGATGATAGGTTTCCAGGCCCACATATAATGTGGTGGCCTGTTGGCATTTGGGAGGACACTAGCTCCTGGAGTGTTGAGAGGACACACAATATGATCCACAGTGATTCCAAAGCACAGTTTGGAGATAGTATCTCTACTTTTACCCTCAGAAAATTAGATATTTTCCTTCTTGGCACTAATTGTCATTAAATACCCAAGTATAGGCCAGTAATTTGTACAAATCTAAAAGAAATTCTTTTGTGATAGAAATTCAGTGTGTTTGTTGGTTTAAAAAAAGACAGTCTAAAACCTTGACAGTGTCCCAGCTTCATCAGATTATTAGACCATGTCTGCTTCGTCGTTAATGAGATCTATCCAGATTTGTCACTCAAAATAGCAATGGACAAATAGTAAGTGTTCGATGTAGAGGGTCACCTTGGAGCAGTTACACTCTCCTGTAATGTCAGTCTCTTTTTACTCAATTTCACTAAAGTAGTTATCTGGCTGTAAAGCAGTTCAGGCAGTAATGTAGGATGTCATATATATTCCTTTAATTATTATGATCTTCCTTGTAGCAATTATAATTTGCTTTATTGCAGATAACAGCGAATTGGTAGATAAAAGTCACTAGACAGATATGAAAAGTTGTACGTTATAGCTTTTAGATTGAAAGTATAGCAGCTGGTTAACTTTGTTTTTTAAACTCAAAGATTATTTTGGAACATGAATTAAAAAGAAACAAAAGACAATAAGAATATTTTGTAGTAACTGTAGTGCATAACAGAATTCACTTGTTTGTCTCACTGATAGACAGTACGTGAGACGTAGGCTTTTGTTCAGTTGCAGAGGAAAAAATCTCTGTATGAATGCCAGAAGCATCTATTGAATGCTTTTTCTCAGACTATATCAGAAAATTTTCATTATTGCTTGCATTGCTCCAAAAAGACTGTTAAACTCCTGTGTTCCTTTTGACAGCATATCAATTTTGCTGCACTTATTTGTTCATATATGGGAAATTGTTGGTGGGACTCAGTTGTTTCCTTGAGTAGAATCCATTTCTGGTGTACAGTTTTTAGGTCAGTTTATGGCCATTATTAGTACTTTTTTTCTTTTTTTAGTATTCAGAAGCATATATATTGAATAACCTCTTTGAGGTCTGTCTTTGTATAATCTGTTTTTCCTTCAAAAATGGTAATGGGAATTGGAAACATAGCTCTGTCGAATAATCAAATTCCACAGAAATGCTGTGGCTTTATTGTTTCTTGTATCATAAGCCCATGGAAACAAATTACCATACATTATTACTATTTTTGCCCCATATATTTGGGAAAGTCAATATATGCAAAAGGCAATAAATGGCTTCAAAAAATCTTCTAGGTGATTGTTTTTATAGTAAAATCCAAACAGTACATTGATGAGAGATGCCAAGCCCCTTCCTTCCGTATGGCACATCAGTATATAATTCATGAAGTTAAAATATACTTTAAACAAGGAGGAGATCATTATTCCTTTTCATTTAGACCCTGAACACAACTGTCCCCACAATCTGTTTATGGTTCATTATCCTCAACCTAATAGATAATGGAGAATTCCCTTGCCCCCGCCAGCGCTGCTGTGAAAGGTGAAGCCTGCGTCCTTTGTGGAGAGCTGTGACTCGTGGCAGAAGCAAGATTTGTTTAGCGCTAGGTCTGCATTTCCTGCCTGATAAGTATTATTTTTTATAGCCTTATCCACATGCTCCAGTTAGCTTCCGACTCTCTCGTCCACGGTTTCATATACCAGCACTTGCAGCAAGGCTGGGAGGCACCGGCCGGTGGTGTGGGTGTCCTAAGGCGAGGTGTTTAGCTTTGCTCCCCGCCCGCTCCGCACATTGTGTAGGCTGTTCTGCTCCACCTAGGCATTGGCTGGGTGGGCCAGCTTCCTTCTTCCTGGTGGTTACAGGAACAGCACAGGCTACTTGGTTCAGGGGTTTGGGCTGTTTGGTTTTCTAAAGTGGTTGTGAGGTTTGCTTTTACTCAGTTTGATTTGCAATTACTCTATCAGATTGTTAGTATTTAAAACCAGTTTAGTGAAGGCATATTTTAGAATTGACTAAGACGTGAGATGAAACTGGAAAAAAGAGAGATTGTCAGAGGCAAATATTTCTCTGTAAGGGAAGGCATTATTTTATCAAGTTTGAAGCAGGTTTACCATGTCACTGTAATCACTTGCTGACAATATTAAAGTTTAGCTTCTGATACCTTTCAGTGCTTTATCAGGGGACTTGACTTTTGTGTAAGGTATCAGTAAGGACGTAAGTACGTAGCTACAGTTGCCTTTGTAAAGTTGATGCCAAGGCATCATAATCCAGAAAATTTATGGCAGGATTTCAACTTCAGTGTTGCCAGAAATAAAATTAATCCAAGGTGGAAGTGTCCTTTTTGTGAGTTCAAATCCTTCTTGGAATTGCTTTTCACATTCCCTTCCCACTTTTTTGCAACTAAACATTTACCATTTTTGGAAAATGTTGCCTGTACTAATATATCAAACTCGTTTTTCCCTTTCTCATTGACTTGAAATTGAGGTTAACAAAGTCAATTCCAAGCAAGTAGTACATACAAGTAATGATTTTTGTCCCAAAGAACAGCACTGACTTGAACAGTATGGAAGTGCTGATGCTCTTGCTTTGTACAAGAGCCCGTAATGACAAAGTATTCTTGTCAGAGTATATAATGAAACTATAAATTGTTCTCATGACTGCTGTGATATTTGGTCTCTTGCAGAGCACATTCAGAAAGTATTTAGTGCCACGTCTTAAGTGAGTAACATCAGAAATAGAAATACATGCTTTAGCATGAGCAGTGTCAAGTGATGGGTAAGAAGAATCTGCTGATTGAACATCACGTTAAGTGAAAAAAGTTGCCTGAAACTTCTGATAGGTAACACTTAGCCACTGCAGGAAAGGATGACGTACACGTTACTCTCTCTTCTTCTCAGTGGGGAAAGGCAATGAAGCAGATCAGACTAATGCAGAACAGCTAAGATTTGCAAGTTCTGCTTTCCTTTGTGCGTGAGCCCTACACATAAGCGGCGGTGGCTGGAGGGGAAGGCTCACCTCTGCCTTCCCTCCCCATTCAGGTGCTTGCAATATTCCTGCATTATTTCCTGTTCTTTTGACTCAACAAGCAAGTGCATATAGTATCGCAGCTAAATTAGTTCTTTTACCTGTGCTGATAGGGTATCGCATTGTAATTGTTTCAGACTCAAGGTAAATTTTGGTTGCCACTCATGCTACCCTTTCTGCCGTAACACGGCCCTCTTTCTCTGTCCAGGTAGGAGGTTGAGCCCAGAGGACGTTGCTGGTAGCGGGGAGGAGGGAAGGGGGAATGAGGTGGGAAATGCTGGTTGCTACCTGAGAGCTGGGTATTGTGGACAGAAGTAGAAAAGGGAGTTGGCAATGGCTTCTTTGTTCCAGCAGCCTTCCCAGGGCTGCGGGTCAAATTGTGAGGTTCTTCATACTATTGCATATGAGGGAAAAGAGGAGAAACTTGAATTGCTGAATTTTCTAATTCACAGTGGCCACGTGAGCACGTGGTCTTCCAAATGCATTTCAGGCTTCTGATACAACAGATTTCTTTCCCGTGGTTGTTATTAATAAGCTAAGACAACTTGTGGCAGACTTTGATCTCGTGCAGAGAGTCTTCCTCCATCTTTTCAGAGAAAAACTTGAGCCTCTTGAATCCAGTATGGGCTGGGGTAGAAATGGCTTGTTACAATTATGGTTTTTTTTTTTCTCTTCTGCAGTACCTGGTGTGTAAAAGGAAGCTTGAAAGTAAAAAGGAGGCATTGCTAATCCTTTCCAAAGAGCTGGACACCTGTCAACAAGAAAGAGACCAGTACAAGCTTATGGCCAACCAGTTGCGGGAACGACACCAGTCTCTGAAAAAGAAGTATCGGGAGCTGATTGTAGGTTGTTCTTTATGAATACTGCATAATTGGGGGACAAGAATCGACCTCAAAAAACATCTAAAAGAGTCCAGAACGAGTACTGTAAAAATGTTTAGGTACTTGTTTACAGTAGTCCTGCAGTTGTACAGCCCTGATCATATTATTACTCATTTGTTCCGCATTGACGATGTAGTGCCTGTTATATAAGACACAGAAAGACAGTGTGTGCTTTGAGGAAATTAGTTTCAGTCATAATTCCATTTAAAAACTGACTGCAGTGTTATTATTTCACAGCAACTTAATGTACCGTTATGAAAAATAATGCAACATAAATTTGTAATGACCTGCTGTTCTAGAAATGTAAAGAAATCTTCAGCTTTGACAATTTTTGAGATTAAATTAATATTACTGATATTAATCAAGATGCAGTATTTAAGAAAGAATTTTGATAACATTTTAGTTAAAATACGTGTTTTAAAATTTGATCCACAAAGTTAATATAGTTGCTGGCTTCACAAAGAAGTTGCCAATCAAGTACGTCTGTTTATTTGTAGGATGGGGATCCATCTCTTCCGCCTGAAAAGAGGAAACAGGTAGGATTGATTTTTCAGTTGACATTATTTATCTGCTACAAAAGTACTTTGCAAAAGTGTGAAAATAGAACCTAAGAAATCTGGTAAAGAGCAAACATTTCTGTCTGTTGAAAAGATCAGTCTTTAAACTGTGGCTTCTTGTGCTTTTGTCTAAACATGTTTCACTCTGAAATATCTGAACTATCATTAATTAGAATATATGGCTATTGCTTTTATGTTCACCTGAGACTGAAATTGGTCAGTGGACGGAGACTTGAGATTGTTCTCCTTGTTGTTTATCCTTCTTGTATTGAGTCCTAAAATGGGTTTGTGACAGGACTTCTCATACTTAAAAGCAATTTGGGAATGCATTGTCTGCATCCCATAGTTGTTAATTTATTGTTGTGAGTACAGTTTTCCATTAGGTACTCTCCCAGGTCACTTGGGCTCTATGAGTTATAAATGGTAAGAACAATGGTAATTGCATTTTATGGTTCCCTTGAAAAACTTTTTGCCTGCTCATTTTTTTTTTTCCCCCCAGAGATCCATGTAGTGTGTCTCTATTATGGAGTGTTGGCTGTCACATCTTAAAATTATCTTAATTTTTAGAGAAAAATGGCACCCAAACCACAATGTGTGAGCAGGGAGAGAAGAACGCAAAATAACAAAAATTGCTACTGTAATTGCTAGTCCTGAAAGTCTTTTAACTGTGTTTAAAACATGGTTATTGCATTCTCTTAATGGGTCAGAAGTTTTACTCATCATCCTTTCCCTGGGAGTTTGCATGTAGTTCTTGCTATTTTCTTAAAATTTTAGGGGCTTAGGATTTTGGTTGTTTTAAACTAAACTTTCAGAGGCAATATAATTAATCCTTCAGGCACTTAACAAATAGCTGCCAAGAAGTCAGTGGCTCAGTGTAGAATCATTTAACTTCCTCATTATTTAGCATAATTTATTTGAAATTCTGTTATTTCAACAGAGTTGTAATAAAAGTTTATGACCAGATTTAGGTTTGTGCATTCTGACTACTAAAATTTGAGCTAAAGAACATACAATTAAAAGGAGAAAAAACAATGCAGTACATGGGTCATTACAGAGATAAATAGGAAGGGAGATTTGCCATCCCGTGGATGTTGTTCTAATTCCTCTTCCATCTTTCAAAACAAATAAATCTGACACTTGTTTCTAAAATACTAGCAAAATTTAGTCTAAATTCAGAAGCTGCAATTATATTAAGTTTTGGCAAATCTTACCATGGTAAGTTCCTGGAAAGCCATTTAATAATCTAGCTAGGAGTCCTTTTTTTCTGAGGAAGTTATGTATTCATGCTAGGTAACAGTGAAAGAAAGAAAATCTTGTTCTCAGATGGGGTCATTTATAGGTCTCCCCCAAGGACAATATATACCTTAGGTTGTACAGTAATAGGCTGTTAGTGCACTCCTTGAGTTTTCATTCTCCCGAGAAGTATGTCTGTAGCATACAAGGTGGATAATCTGGAGTAGTTAGGGCAACCTTTCTGAAGAAGAGTATAGTTTTGCTTTGAGAAATGCTTCAAGGAATAATGAAATAAAGTTATGAATATTTTTCCATTATTACTGTACGTACATTTCTTAGCATTTTCTCATCTAAGAAAGAGAGATGTTCTCTGTGCTCTTTTGGACTTTTTTCATCCCCTTTTTGCCCAGAGGCCCAGTTGCCTGCTGGGAGAAGTCTGTGACCTCAGTCCCTTTATAAAAATAGAGACCCTGATCCTATAATGAATTTTGTGTGACACAAAAGTGCATGTTGTTCTTATGGTCAGAAATGAGATGAAAACAGGATATGCTGAACAATTGGCTACCTGTTATGTTTCTTTACCGCAACTGAGAAATTATTGTTGAAATTGCAATCTAGAACCTTACATGTAATAGGTGTGTTGGAATTGCTACTTTCTTCTCATTCATCTCTTCATTTTTCACCTTCATTATCAATTACGCTTCGTGACTTCTTAAAATATCGTTTTCCACATCGTGCCTTCTCTCCCTGTTTTGCAACACAGAATTTTTATGGTTTGTATGGAAATAGCATATAACCAAGCATTTTCTATCAGCAAGCAGTTAACTCAGAACGTGTTTTTGTAAAATTGGTGTTACTTAAAGGTACCTTAACGTGCAGTGCTCTGCAGTGTTTTCCCACTCAAAGGTGCGTGTGCCGTGGTATGCATCTCTGACACAATGCCAAGATTGTTCCATGTGTATTGCCTTCTGACAAGCCACAAAAGCAGGAAATGAGAAATGTGCTACTGAAATCTCTTTTCCTGCAGTAGGTGTTTTAACATTAGTGTTGTTATCACAGCCTGTGAGCTGTCAGTGCCTTCCTGGCCTCTCTTATCAAACATTCACAATTAAATGCTGCAGTTGAAGGTAGTTTTATAATGTCATGTGGTGTCAGGTGTAGGGTAATTTTTGGGTAAGTAATGGAGGGGTGAAATGTTTCAGGAGGATAGGAATAATGAATAGTTGATTTTGATGTTAAAATTCACCAGAGATGGTAAACAATAGACACTCCGCATTTTGAAAGGTATGTTAAAATGTTGCTGTGTCTGCAGAGTCTCTGTTGTGTGTCCTGTATAAAGAGAAATTCTACCATTCTGCAGTGGTATACATTTATATGCATTTGCTGTGATACAGAACATTTCTGTGACATTGGCAAACAAATACTGGATATCTGTTGGACAGTGTTGCCATGCTGGGAAACTTAAAGAAACAAACATTGATGGGATTTATACTGACTCTTTATTTAAAATATTTATTTACTATTATTATTACTGACTATTTATTTAAAATAATATTTAAAATATTTTTTATTTAAATTTAACGATTTATACTGTCTATTATTTTCATCTACACTGCTTAAATTTTCAGTATAACTTCAGTTTGGGAGAAGCTTTGTTGTTGAAATAACAGATCATGAATCCTTTGATCTTCTATATGAAATAGAAGTCCTTTTAATACAAACGAGATCCTTTGAATAAACAAAGGTGAAGTAAAATGCATAGTTAGGAAAATGACTGTGCTGGGCCACAGTCCTAAATATGCTTTGCTTAATCTGATCTCAGTGAGACCACTCAGTTGGAGATAATGGGTTTGCAGTGGGACTGTGTGTCAAGAATAAAGCCGCAATGCATATGTTGACTGGCGAGGGCCTATATTTGTATTTTAAATGTATGAGGAATCTAATTAAATGGTGCTAAACATCACAGGATCACAGAATGGTTGAGGTGGGAAGGCAGCTCTTGAGATCAACTAATCCAATCCCCCTGCTCAAGCAGGGCCACCTAGACCACGGTGCCCAGGACCATGTCCAGTCAGATTTTGAACATCTGCAAGGATGGAGACTCCACAGCCTCTCTGGGCAACCTGTTCCAGTGTTTGACCACTCTCACAGTAAAAAAAAGTTGGGTTTTTATTTTTTGTGTTCAGTTACCTGCAGGTATTGGGGTGACTGATGTCCCTCATGAAGATCATGGCCTGTGAATATGAAGCTTCTTCCAGTTGTGTGAAGAAGGCCCCATCTACTACTACTTCCTGATCAGGAGACCCATAGCAGATACCCAGTACAAGAGCATCCATGTTGGTCTGCCCACTAATCTTGACCCAAAAGCTCTCAACTGACTCCTGACATGTCCCAAGGCAGGGCTCCATGCATTCACGTAAAGGGCAGCACCCCTTCCTCACCTTCCCAGCTGTCCTTCCTAACAAGCCTGTATCCCTCTATCGCAGCACTCCCGTCATGTGAGTTATCCCACCATTTCTGCATGATCCCGATGAGATTGTAGCCCTGTAACTGCATACAGACTTCAAACTGTTCTCTGTCCTGTGTGCATTAGAGTAGAGGCTTCTGAGGGGCATCCAAGTGTGCTGGTTCCGCAGTACAGGCTTGAGAGCTTTCCCCACAAGGCTGTTCTACAGGCACTTCCTTCTTTACATGCCTATGCTCAAAGGGATTACACTTCAGCTCACTTGTTTGGTGAGTTGCTATGTCCCTTCTCTTACCATCGTCCCAGGCTCTTGGCTTGCCTACTCTATCCCAAACCTCCTTGTTCCCTCCTCTGTCATTTCTAGTTTAAAGCTCTCCTTATGAAGTTGGCCAGCCTATTGGCAAAGATACTTTTGCCTCATGTAGTCAAGTGCATCCTATGTCTTCCAAGCAGCTGTTGAGTCTTAGGGAGGATCCCATGGTCATAAAACCCTCTTTGAGGTTCCTAATAATGAGCCTCATAACATAATGATGGCATAGTCCTAGTATAGAGCCCAGCTTGATAGTTACTCTTTTTGCTAGGCAAAAAGTCTCATCAGAGAACCTGTGTGCGTCTTTCCTGAAGGTCGTGGTCTTTAACTCTGTTATAGTTATCTGTAGGTGTCCCAAGGTGATTCATTCAAGCAAAGACTCTGACTGCTTCAGTGATCACTGACATCACAGTAGCATGCTACCCACTCACCAAGACATTGGTCAGTCAGCTTGACTTCTGCTAATGAGTAAGTTCATGAGCGTGGCATTTTGGGGCAAGCAGAGCATCAGAAGGAACGGAGGTTCCAGACAGGAGTATGTTGTGACATACCACAAATGGACCCATTTTGATCTCTTCCGCTTCCAGCTTCTAGCTTAATGTACTCAGCTGTCACTGAGTTCAGTTTCAAAACAAACTTCAGGGATTACCTTATGACTGTTTTTGACATCATCAGAAAGAATGACTAGTGTGACTATAGTGTGACTATTTCTTGTTAACTAATGAATTTGGGAAGTTTTGCTAGTCTTATGCTAAGGCGCAAAAGCTGCCTTCAGAGTCCTGTGAGATAAAATCTTCAAATAAAGTACACTACAGGGTAAGCAATCATTTTGTATTTATCTCACAAGGGTGCTGTGAAGATTAATGATTTCCTGCTCTCTTCAAAGGGTTTGAAGATGAAAAACATTATGCATGTGCCAAACTGACCTGTGCACTTTGCTCTGGTTTGTAGGTGCATGTATTTGACTCCCAT